TTTCATGAAGAGAAAACATCGATTCTATGCAAGCGACTGAACGAACTTTTTGATATAAACCACAGGGAGCCCAGGAACTATAATCAACTGTAATAGCAGTCTCTATGAGCGGGGAGGGGGTATCGGCTGGTATCTAGTGTAAGAAATAGACAAGGGATGAAGGCTCCAGCCAGCTCACATTTTTTAAACTCGAAAAAACAGACGAAAAAAATAAAAAATAAAATCTAAAAAAAATACCAGGTTGAAGAATATTAGTTGCTCCTTCGAATTTCGCCAAAGCCTTACCTACATTTTACCGATATCTGCAGAATAAATCAAGAAAACTACACAAATTGACTCCATTTAGGAATTCCTAATGGTTAGTCCTTGAGGCAGTCCAGTTTTGGGCGAGTCTTGGTTCAACCTTGTGAGAGTCTTGGGGACTTTTCCCCAGGGCGCTGTGTCTTATAGAGTGCTCCACAGATCGACTAAGACGAGAGTTGAAACGTATTTCGTTGCGTGTGCCTTATTTGACTGTAAAGTTAAAGTGACATTCCCGATCCCGTACCTCAAGGGGACGAGATAGAGAGACGAGACGAGTTTCCCCCCTGACACGTGTGGAGAACCCCGAGAAAGAGATTTTACCCCCTGATATTACTGTGATAAAACACAATTGAACGTACGTTGTTATATTATAAGCAAACGTTACAAGCCTTTGTATTACCCCTCGCATAGGGCTTTTTTGCTACTAGCAAACGATACATTTTACCACTCGCATATGCCGTTTTTACCACTAGCATATGGCATATTTTGCTACTTGCGACTCGCAACTTGGTACTCGCATACGGCACTATTTCTAGGTCGTACATACCTCCCCGTCCGGTGTGAAATATTGAATTAGTATTTGCTTCTCTGCGTTTACTGAATAATCTTCAATTATGCATGTACAGTGCTCGTGTGATCACTCATAATAGTTCGCAATAAACAAATTCAGGGTCACTACTTTGGTCGGCTGTACTTTCAGTCGGTCTTTAGAATACGTGAATACTCGCATACTTCACAGTTTGTGTGCATCTTTGTTTGCATGTATTTAGGCTATAATTCAGATGGGCGATATAAAGACGTTGGTCGGCGTGTTTAACTACCACAATATATGAGTAAACTTCTGCAAACTTTTGGTATAATATTGCCTTTCATTTGTTTGCTAGCGTCTGCAGACTCCATTACATAAGGCTGCATATTATGGATTTACAGTTCTAGTAGATTTATTATTAAATAATAGCGCAAATGTCCGTGCAGTTGACAATGTGAGTATATCATGTTTTTATGCTCGACGTAGCCGAGCCATTCATATACGTGATTGTCTGTCTCTATGTTTGTCCATTTTGTGACAATGTCTTTAATAACGCAAACATCACCAGCTCAATGAATCTGAATTTCTGCTTTGAGGCATAACATTAAGTACATTGTAAAGGCATTCTATTCGTAATTGTGTTGGCCATGAGTGTTATATTCATACATTATTATTATGTCGATGCATACAAATCACTGGTAAACAAATATCCATGCCTATAATGATACTCTATATATTTGTGATGTTTGTAACAGTGTTTTAGTCGATTGTTTTTCCAAAACATTTATTTCCACATCTGTCATATAGTGACAGAAAATTCTCAAAAAAGTGTTAAATATTTCTTTCCCAGGAAAAAAATACTCCATTACATGAAGCTGCAAGAAATGGACACACACAAGCAGTTGAGATGTTAATAAATAAAGGGGCTAATGTGAATGTTGTCAACAAAGTGAGTGTCGTGTTAGTACATATGTATTATATCAGAGTGTACTACTGGTTCACTTCAATATATCTCATGTCACTATTAAAATAAAAAAAATATCTACTACCTAGGCAACTGTTTCAACACAACTTCACATACCACTCGTGTGATTTCATAATTTTTGGAATCTTTCGCTCATTCAACAATGCCAAAGCAATTTGAAAACCAAAATTGTAATTTCTAATTTAATGTTAATTCACAAGTATGTAATAATAAATGTATGTTTTGACAACATTAAGTTCTAGTTGTGTAAAATGCCTCATTTACCACAACTCCAACTCATTCTTCTTATCCACAACTATCATTTATCATATTTTCCTATAATTTCAACTGCTCATTTGGTACAAAATAAAAAAAAATACATTGCAGTGTGAAAAATGTAGAGCCGTCAAAGTTTTATTATTGAAGGTTTTGTCAACACGTCATGTCAAGTAGTGTATGTTTGACAGTAAACACTTATATGTATTTCAGTTTAACAAGACTCCGCTTCACCATGCAGCTGAAGATGGCAATAAACAATCAGCCGAGGCATTGTTATCTACTGGGGCTAAAACAAGTATAGTTGATGAGGTATTTGTAGCTGAGCTTGGTAATTATAAATTAAACTTTATGTAATGGTATGATTGCACAACATTTTTGACTCCCATGTGCGAAGCACAAAATGGGAGTCTTTGCAGTTAGTGTGTCTGTATGTGTGTATGTGTGTATGTGTGTGTGTATGTGTGTATGTGTGTCCGACTGTTCCACTGCTATCTCAAGAACCATACATCGGTTTTTGATGAAACTTGGTGCATAGATGCTCTGGGCCAATGCGCAGATTTGATTAGGTTTTGATAAAAATCCATGCTCGTTAATTACCTAATTTGCATGATAATTAGCTAATTTTTAGCTGTTCTATGACTGTTCCACTGATATCTAAAGAACCACTCATTGGATTTTGATGAAACTTGGTACATAGATGCTCTGAACATATGCGCAGATTTGATTAATTGTTGGTAAAAATCCGTGCATATTAATTACCTAATTTGCATGATAATTAGCTATTTTTTAGTGGTTCCATGACTGTTCCACTGATATCTAAACAACCACTCATTGGATTTTGATGAAACTTGGTACATAGATGCTCTGAACTAATGCTAGGTTTTGATTAGTTTTTGGTAATAATCCGTGGATACTAATTACCTAATTTGCATAATGATTAGTCAATTTTCGGTTTTTCCACTGATATCAGTACTAATCATCACATTTCAAATGAAACTTGGTACATAGATGTCATACGACACTGCACAGACCTGATAGTTTTTATGGTAATATCAGTACATATTAATTACCT